ATTATCATTATTATTATTATAATTATAATAATATTATTATCATTATCATTATTATTATTATTATTATTATCATTATCATTATTATTACTACTACTGTTATTGTATAGCAAATAATAATTCTCACAAAAACACGTAAGTCACACTTAATTATATTTTTACTACCATTTTCTTGCTAACTGTTATTTTGTCAGTGCATTGTTAATAGAGCAAGATTGTCAGTAGTTTTTAGTTCATTCCGTATTATCTCTCCCTCTCCTCTCTAAAGGAACAGATTCAGAAAAAAGAGCACTGGATTCTAATTATTAGGTATTTGTTTCCTGGTATTGAAAAAGAGCCTTTCCCTGTATTTACTAAGTTATTTATTCATTTCCTGAAGATAAATAAGATGGCTGAAATTAGAATTAGCAACCATTCACATATAATTATTACTATAGAGAATATCAGCCGGAACACCAAACTCGTGGAGTTGTGTGTCTGTTTGAGTTTCATATTTTATCCTCTAAGTGACGCTGTTGTCTGGTAAACCAATTCTGCTGTGCTTTGTGAGGCAGTGCTGTCCCCTCCCCTGTTACTGCATTTTACAAGAGGAGATGTCTTTCATATGAGCTAGGGCTCATCGGATAAACAGTTGACTTACACTGTCATCTATCGCTATTCTAAATCAACCTGGAATTTATGCGTTTTTCCTCATTGAGTTGAAATCTTCGTTCCATTATTCTGTTTTGCTTGAAGACTCCGTTTTCACATGGCATTTAAAGAACATCATCGAGACAGAGGTGTAAGATGGCGATTGTCTGGGCGTTTGCGAGGAGCACTGCCCCTGTTCATTTTTCAGTTTATTTGTCTTAATCAAGCGGAGGCACAGATCCGTTATTCTATACCAGAGGAGATGAAGAAAGGCTCTGTTATTGGTAACGTTGCACAAGACCTTGGTTTGGATCTGAAAAGGCTCCGTTCTGGGCGGGCCCGTATCGTGACCGGAGAAAACATCCAGTACACCGAGCTGAAGGCAGACAAAGGGACTTTGGTCGTTAATGAGAGAATAGACCGAGAGGAACTCTGCGGCGACGTGACACCGTGTAGCTTTACCTTTGAGATTTTACTGGAAAAACCAATGGAGTTGCACCCTGTGACCATAGAAGTATTGGACGTAAACGACAACGCTCCCACTTTCCAAAACAGTCACTTGGAATTTGAAATAAGCGAATCAGCTGCGCTTAGTTCCCGTTTTGTTTTAGAGAGTGCGGATGATGCCGATGTTGGCGAAAACGGCCTGCAGAATTACATTTTAACTCCGAACGATAATTTTATTTTGAAAACGCATGTTAATCCAGACGGCAGTAAATATGCCGAAATGGTGCTTCAGAAACCCTTAGACAGAGAAGCACAACCACGTCTGTCTCTAAAGCTGATAGCCGTAGACGGTGGGAATCCACAGAGATCTGGTACAGTAAATATAGATGTCAATATTCTAGATGCCAATGATAATTCTCCTCTGTTTAATCAGTCTGTGTATAAAGCCACGGTGATTGAAAATGCACCAAAAGGCACTCCCATTGTTACTGTGAATGCAAGCGACATAGACAGCGGTTCAAACGGACAAATAACGTATTCCTTTTCTAAATCAAAAGCAGGAATAGCTGATTTGTTCGATATAGATGAGGCTACAGGAAACATATATGTGGCAAAGGAGATAGATTTTGAAAAAGACAAAAAAAGTTCAGAGTTGAAGCTAAAGATCAAGGCGGACTGACAGATTCTAGCAAAGTTGAAATTGAGGTTATTGATGTAAATGATAATTCTCCGGTCATTAACGTTATGTCATTCACTAGTCCTGTGTCAGAAGACTCCCCTGTAGGAACCACCATTGGCATAATAAATGTTAAAGATCTTGATTCCGGTGAAAACGGACAAGTAAGTTGCAGGATCGAAGGCAGTGTTCCTTTTAAAATTAAATCCAACTTGAGAAATTATTATGCGCTGATGACTGATGCTGCATTAGACCGTGAGCATATGTCAGAATGTAACATCACTGTTATTGCCTCAGACGCAGGATCGCCTCCCCTCTCAACTAAAAGAACATTTTATCTGAAAGTCTCGGATGTTAATGATAATGCTCCAGTATTTCCACGAGGCTTTTACAGTGCATTCATTGCAGAGAATAACTCCCCAGGTGCATCTGTACTTAGTGTTAGCGCTAAAGACCCTGATGAAAACCAAAACGCCCGTGTTTCCTATATTCTGGAAGAATGTCATATCGGCGGATCTCCACTCTCTGAATATGTTTCTGTAAATACAGAGAGCGGAGTGATACACGTAGTGCGCTCATTTGATTATGAACAAATCAAACAGCT